AAAAAAAAGAGATTTAGAGATAGAACGGATGCAAGACATTCTCAACTCAGAGGAAGCCACAGTGAAGCAATGGTAAGGAGGTAAGGATGAGGTTGAGCAGCTTAAGGGATTAGGATAAAATGCTAAGATATTAGATGGGTGATTCACATGGACCTTAAAACTACTCAGCAAGATGTCAGAGCTTGGGGTGGGGTGGAAGAGTGGTAGCAAGTGTCGGAGTCTTCAGAAAATGTGCAGATTGTTAACCCAGAGGTCGTTAGACGATACTGGTAAGGAAGCTTAGGGACAGTGATGGCGGGATGGACAGAGATGCCAGAGGAGAGTCGTGTTCCTGAAAAGGCGAAGATAGCATTTTGGATGCTACATTGGAGAGAGTGAAGAGTGCTGAACCTATTCCCTGCCCTGAACACCAGAGGGAAATGAATAGTCTCAGAGGACAGTCAAATTTTAGAGAAGGTAAGCTATGCAGACAAGGGCAGTTTTTTCATCATGGGATAGAGTTCCAGGTTAAAATAGAGTTTGTGGGTTAACAATTTTAATGGGTTTGTGTCTACAATTAAGGTAAATACCTGATGCCACCAACCATATGCTTCTTAAAAAGGAAGATACAAGGAAATATTGACAAATTTTACAGTTTACATTTATAAATATTGTTAATAGGGAAATATGGTTTACCAAAAACAGAATGTAGTTTTATGTTATTTAATAGTGAGTTCTTGAATGGAGTTATGGCCATTTTGCTGTGACTTGGAATAAGCACAATGTTTAAAGGATTTAGCTCCAGTTTTTACTCTCTTTCGTCTCTTTTGAGCTCACTGATGTTCAGCAGAGAGAAAGCTATTCTAGAATTTGCGCTACCTAAACACATAGAATCAGCAGATTCTTTGGCTGCTAAATGAAACAGAAATAAAGCTCTTTAGTTTTTATTATTAGAATTAAGTTCATTTTGCAAGTAGCTGTTTCAGGCAATCAACAAATATTTATTAACTGCCCAAAATATTCCTAAAGTCTTGTGGGAGACAGAAAAATTTGTGAGATTACAGCTGGAGAGATAACGTATTCACACAACATTAAGTAAAAACACAACACTTCTATCTCAAAAGAGTGCATGATTAATTGCCAAATGACTGCTATGGACAATGAATGCTTCAGGAAGAGGTGCCACCAAACTAGGCCATGAAGGCTAGAGAGAAACTATAAAGCTAGTTTAGATGGAAGCAAGGGTATAAGACTTGGCATAGGGCAGGAAAGTTTATCATATGTTAAGTGATGACTTAGTATTTTCATAAGGTTACTAGAGTGGAATGATATGGATATGGGTCAGTTAGATTCATATGGGACTCAACAGTTCTGAACCCTATGTAACTCATGGCCTTTTTTTTTTTTTTTATGCCTATAGCACCTGGTCGTCCTAGGTGGTCTCCCATCCAAGTACTAACCAGGTCCAACCCTGCTTAGCTTCTGAGATCAGACGAGATCAGGCACATTCAGGGTGGCATGACCATAGACCTCATAGCCATTTTTTAACAACAAATATTTTTGTTTTGCTACCTTTACTGCACATTTTAAAAATTGATATAATGCTATAATTGTAAAGAATGAATAAAAGAATAAAAAATATGTATTTAATTCCTTATTCTTTAGATACATATATGAGGTATCTAAAGTAGTCAAACTCTGAGAAATAGAAAATAGAATGGTGGTTGTCAGGGGCTAGGGAAAGGGGGAAAAGAATTGTTTAGTGGGTATAGACTTTCAGTTTATCAAGATGCAAAATTCTAGAGATCTGTTACATAGCAATGTGCATATAGTTAACCCTACTGTACTTGTACACTGAAAAATGGTTAAGATGGTAAATTATGTTATTTTTTAATACAATAAAAATATGAATTTGAATATGCAAATATGTCTAAGAGTGAATTTCTTTTCATTTAGTTTGTTCAAGATTCATTGTCCCTACTGCGTTTGAGGATTTATGCCTTACGTTTGTTCTGGGAAAAAATGCCTTTCTCAAATTCTCTATATTCTTCTTTCATATTATTAAATGCATGTTAGATCTCATTCTATCTTCCATGACTCTTAACTACTTTTTTATACTTTCCATATTTTTGTCTCTTTGTGCCATGTGTCTTTTATTGAAGTAAAGCATACATACAAAAAATACAAAGTAATAAGTGTACAACTAAATGAATTTGCCAAGTGAGCATACCATGGAACCAGCATCCATATCAGGAAACAATATTACCAGCTCTCCAGAAGTACTCTTTATGCCCCTTTGCAGTTACAGCCACACTCCATGGTAATCACTATCCTCTCTACCTTGGTTTTGAGGTCGATGTTGTCTATGGGTGTGGTTTTGCTAGGAGCTGTTTTTTTTTTAATAACAGTTTTGTTGAGATATAATTAACATCGCACATAATTCACTTATTTAAAGTGTATAATTCAATGATTTTTAGTATAATCACTAAATTGTGCTACCATCAACCAAATTAGTTTTAGAACATTTTCATCACCCCATAAAGAAATCCATGCTCATTAACAGTCACTCTCCACTCCCCTCACCTTCTCCTCCCAGTTCCAGGCAAAAAGTTTTCTAGTTTATGTCTCTATAGATTTGCCTATTTGGAATATTTTATATAAATGGAATCATACCTTTTGTGCCTGGCTTCTTTCACTTAGCATTTGAGTTAATTTTTGTATGTAGTACAAAATAGGGGTCAACTTTTATTCTTTTGCATGTGGATATCTAGTTGTCTCAGCACCATTTGTTGAAAAGTGCTATTCTTTATTCATGCATTGTCTTGGCACCCTTGTCAAAAATCAATTGGTCATGAACGCGAGGGTTTACTTCTGGATCTCAATTCTACTCTATTGATCTATATGTGTATCTCTGTACTAGTACCATACTGTCTTGGATACTGTAACTTGTAGTAATCTTTGAACTCAGGAATTGTGAGTCCTTTAACTTTGTTTTTTCTTTTTAAAGATTGTTTTGGGTACCATAGGTCTCTTGAATTTCCCTATGAATTTTAGGATCAGCTTGTTAATTTCTGCAGAGAAACTAGCTGAAATTTTGAAGGAGGCTTTGTGTTCATTTTGTAGCTCAATTTGGGGAATATTGCCAATTTGGGGAATATTAAGTGTTCCAACCTATGAGCATGGGCTATTTTTCTATTGATTTTGTTTTTCTTCAGTAATGTTTTATAGTTTTCAGAGTACAGATTTTGCTAAAGTTAATAAGTATTTTATTCTACTTAGTGCTATTTTATATGGAATCGTTTCCTTAATTTCATTTTCATATTGTTCATTGCAAGTGTATAAAAATGCAATCAATTTTTGTGTATTGATCTTGTATCTTGTAATCTTGCTTAACTCATTCATTAGTTCTAGTAGTATTTCTTTAGTGCATTATTTAGGATTTTCTATATTCAAAGTCTTGTCATCTATAAAACAGTTTTAATTGTTTTAATTCTTTTGCAATCTGGATGCCTTTTAAAAAATTTTCTTGCCTATTGTCTTGCCAGAACCTCCAATACAATGTTTAATAGAAGTGGCAAGAATGGTCATCCTTGTCTTGTTCCTGATCTTAGGGAGGAAAACATTGTCTTTCATCACTAAGTATAATGCTAGCTGTAAGGTTTTCATGGATGCCTTTTATTAAGTTGAGGAAGTTCTATCCTATGCCTACTTTTAGAAATATTTTTATCATGGTCTCAAAGATCTCAATTAACAACATAAGTAGTTAAACCTTTCTGTATGTATAGAAGGCCTACCTCTATCTCATATGTAGCAGCATATTGTTTGTAAATATAAGACCTGACGATTTTATTCTTATTCAGCCTTAGATTAGTTTGTTTTGTGGAACCCAATAATGCAGCTTTGGAAAAATCAATAGTTCTGGCAAGCTCTAGCAGTGCATTCACTACAAATGTCAACTTGTGTTTGTGTGGTTCTTTACTGTTCTAGTTGTTTCTGCTTATTAAACAAATTCTGTAAAAAAAAATGTGCTAACTAATAACTAGGAAATAATAAGGCCTGAATTGAATTTGTCCATCTACTAAAAGAGCTCGGGGAAATCTCAGGTAAATACCAACCATTGATTTCAAGCAAATTCTATTAGGCAAAAATTTTCTTTGTAAGGACTATTTAGCTCTGAAATAAGTTTTCTAAAATACTATCAAGGTAAAATAACTTTTTGGTTTGTCTTTTATGTAGACAATGCGTCCAATGTTTTGCTTGGATAATGCAGTTTGATAAACAATTTTACATGGGGAATACAAATTAAAAAGAATAAGGTTTCTAGGTGTGCGGGGTATTTCTAAAAATCCGTGTATTTCTACGTATGGGGAACACTTGCACCTCTAGTGCCTGACAAAGTCCACCATTATGTTTTCGTGTATACTTATTACTATTTGCCAGAAGCCTAACTAGGTCAATTTTCCACCCTAGAGACTAGAAACAGGAGCTGTGTCTGAGACTCTACTTTTGGAAGGATTTCTTATTTTATGGAAATTTCAAAACAATGGAATGACTTGTCCTAAAGAGGAAAAAAAACCTCATTTTAGTTTCTGCTCTCCTTTAAAATAACATTTATTGTTGTTAGCTTTTTTTGTGTCGATTACAAAAGTATTAAAGAGTCATCGTAGAAAATTTGGAAAATTCAATAAAGCACAAACAACATTTTGGTCTCACCGTTTAGCGATAGCTATGAACATTTTTCTTTAAACGGTAATTGGGTGTCGTGAACTGTTTTGTCATCTGCTTTCTTTCATTCTACTTTTTGACAACTACTGTCCTCTCCTTCTCTACAGGTGGTCGTGAGCCCTCCCTTCACTGACATAGTTCCTTCCCCACGGTCTTCCACATTCCTTCCGCCAGCAACACACCGCCTCGCCCACTGCGAGTCTGCGAGGCCTAAGGCGGCACTGCCCCTTTAAGAACCAGGCGCCGGGCGGGGCTCGGGGGCGGTCCCCGCGCCGATTGGTGGAACTCGGGGCCACGTGGCGGTCCTGGCAGCTGAGGCAGCGGCCCAACTCCAGCGGCGGCTGTGGGGATCCCACGGGGTCCCCGGGAAGGGCTGCAAGTTGACAGATGTGCATGGGGAGGTGCCTGGTCGGCCTCACCTTTTGTACCTGCTATCTGGCTTTTTACCTCACGAACAAGGTGAGGGGGGCGGGAGCGGGGAGGCAAGGATTGCACGTGAGAGATTTGAGCCCCATCATTGTACGCGGAACAAATGGAATCTCCATTTTTTTATCTGATTTTTTTTTCTTGATGGTGATGGAGAAGAAACCGACTCTGTGTGGGATGCTCTTTTAGAAATAGCATCTGTTGAACTGTACTGCCCTGTTTCCCGTCCTATGTAAAGCATCCTGTACGTCTCCTGGGAAACCGGATTTTTTGACTGGCGATTTTGCAAGAACTTAATTTTGGGCTGTATGAACTACCTTTAAGAGAAAGAAAAAAAATTAGCTCCAGTTCCCCTGGGAAGAAAAAATAGGAGAAGAAATCAAACGCACCTGCCCCAGAACCCTCACAAGATTCTAGAAGCTTTTAAGAGATCCATCCATCACCATCTCCGCTTCAAACCACTGATTCCTAAACACTTCCAGTATATTCAAGAGTTTTTCGTAGAATAATTTTTTAAAATAAATTTTAAACTTAAGTTTTCTAAAGTAATATCATGGGATCTTTTTTATGATGAGGCAGAAGAACAGTGGTACCAATTGTTTTAAGAATGGGAAGCTGGCCTTGGATTTGGTACATGCAGGGGAATATTGGACCCTTGAGGGCTAAGGCGGGGGCATTAACCATTGTTCTGGACTCTGGGATGGTCACCAAGTCAAAATTGTGATACTAGGCCCAGGACCGTCTTCCCCCATTGTAGGATTTTTATAGCTTTCTCTACCCACCCTCCCCTCTGCCGCCAAAAATAACCAAAAACAAAAACAAAAACAAAAACCACTCTTGCTCTCTGGGAAAGAACCATTAAGAAACAGTATTTTCTTATACCGTCTATCTTAATATGAGTAGCTGTCTTCAGTATATTCAGAGGGTGCTACTGAAGCTCCTTTCCCTTGTTCAGTTGATATTTAGTTATGGTGATGAACCTTTACGGATCCACTAATACCATCTTGCTGGGAGGCAATGATGGGTTTGCATCCTGGTTCCACATACTTGGCCTTTGGGACTTTAATCTCTCTAAACCTAAATATTTTAAATTTAAAATGGGATTAAAAAGTTCACTTCAACGCGTTGTCATGAAGATTAATCAAAACGGTGTTTATAAGGTGGTTGGTGGAGTGCCCAATTTCACAGTACATGCACCATAAAGTAAGTGATAGTTATTCTAAAGAAGGGAAGGGAGGAAGGAAAGATAGTCTTTTGCTTATGGTATGACAGAGAAATCATTAGCTTTTAACAGATTTGTTTTTTCTTCATGGGGCAGGGAGCTAAACTAAAAGATTTGTGTGTAGCATCTATTCAGGAATATGTAAATTTGTGAAATCCTGGCCTTTTCACTTAACTATTTTAATTTGTTTAGCTAACTTGATGAATATATTGATAATGTTACAATTTTAAACAGAATGACCTTCCTTTTATTTCCATATAATCATCAGACGAGGCAGAGTAACACATTCTTCATGATAGCCCACAAGTCATGGCATTGGCCAAGAAAAAAAAAACGTGTATCTAAGCAAAAAATTCCAGTGGGCATCGGATTTAGTTCACCAAAATTTATACCCCCTCTGGACGCACATTTGCATCTGAGGCATTATTTTTGTATTGGGACACCACAGCATTTAATAACTAATGTAATTATGACTGAGTACCTTCTATGTGCATTATGTTGCAAGGTGCTAGATAAAAATAAACCAAATCCTCATGTTCCTGGGAATATCTAATTTGAGTAATAGAAATTGTAGATTCCCAAGGACTCTCAGAATTTAAGCAGTAAGACATCCTTCTGCATTTTCCATGATGGCTTGGAGTGCTTTGGTTTAGGGCTCTTAGGAAATATTGGGAGCAGATGGAGAGTAGGAAAACAGCAGAAGGCAGGGAAAAGAGGAGATGAGGAGACTGTATAAAGAGGATGGAGGAGGTGAAGTCAAGAGTGGTGGAGAGCAGATGTGAGAGCCAGGTAGGGATGGGAGAAATGTTTGTACATAACAGGATTCTGGTAGGAACTTAATAAGTCTTAGATTACGTCATTGTTTCATCTTCTCAACCAGGACAGTCACCCTTCCAGCAGCCAAGGTGAGTAGGCTTAGATCAAGTAGAGGTCAAATGGGAAAGGAGCTGTGCAGTGGGCACCCCATGGGCATTTTCTCCTGCACCTAATCTCTGCCAAATGAATTTTCTTTTGAATTAGTGAAGGTTTTTTTGTGTGTGTGTGTCTCCAACACAGGATTTTTTCTTCTAGTTTTTAGAAGACTCTCTATTAGTTTCTTTATTTTCAGATTTCTCTATGTAATTTTCTCCTCAAACTATTTCCTTCTCTATTTATAGAAAGAAAATTTATTTTAAAATCTTTGTACATCTTAGATTAATCCCTTAGTCTATTACTCTTTAAAAGGATGGTTGATTTTTGTTCAGAGCTTGAACAGCAAGTGTTCTGGCTTTCCTGACCTGGCTGGACCAGTCAGGGTAGTATCCATCCTGTGGGAGGCTCCAGCAGTAATTGGACCTAGGGCCCAGGCAGCCATCTGTTACCCTTCAATCTGTGTGAGGTTCCAGCAGTAACTGGATCTAGGGTACAGGCAGCCACGTGTCCTTCCTCCCATAGCTAACAAGCCTTCAGTATGGATGCAAAGTCCACATCTATTCTCCTTTCAAAGTCTCCCAAATTGCTCCTTCTTTTTCCTTGAAAAGCTCTTACTGCTCTTCTACCAAATAGCATGTTGATCTGAGTGACATTTTTCAAAATATGAGGGACTGCTGAAAAGAGAAATGTTTGGGTCTTAGATTTCCCTTGTTAGAGATTTTATTTTTTCACTTTTTCCCCCACTGTTTTTAAGCAAGAAGTGAGAGCTTCAGCGTTTTCTATCTCCCTCAGTATCTAGAACAAAGCTCAGCACACAATAAACTAAGTAAATATATATTTTTTATCTTCACAAAAGTTAAGGGTGATGCAGGACATGGCCCAGATGTTCACGCAATCCTCTCTCTTTCTCTATTTTAGAATGACAATATCAGGGAAAAGTGGGGAGGAACGTATTGAATTATGTGAGTAAATAGACTTCAGAGAAGAATGTAGGTTTATTTCTAATAAATACAGACCAGTGCACAGTCAGTTAGCCAGAATTGTGTTTAGGAGCTCATACACGGCAATTTTTTGTAGGCTAACCCACAGGGAAAAAATAGATATATAAACTTGCCCAACACTAGTCTACATCATTTTTTAGATCACGTGAAGAATCAGTAGAGTCTTTGCCTAAAGCCATTTAATAATAGAAAAAATAGCAAAAAGATACCCAGAAAGGTAGAATATAATACCCAGATACTAGAAAACAAAACACAAAACCCCCCAAATGGAAGGGAAACAAAGGAGAGACCAGGATGCAGTTCTTATTCCAAGAGAAACAAAGAAAGGGGTTGGATTTTTAGATAAACTGGACAGTAGATGATACCCAGAGAAAACAGACTGCATTTGGGGATTTGTCCATTTTTCTCTGGAGTTTCTATGGTTACAACATGACACTTCTGCAGTCTGGGAAGATGCTAGGGGTCAGCCATCCCAACATCAGACCCAGCTTCTGTCCCACTTTGCTCGTGATACTGGTTCCATTCCCCAACTGAGATGGTCAGGCTTCTGATGACGCTGGGGGAAAGCAGGCCCACTCTAGTATAACTTGGAAGGTATGACTTGCCCAGTGTGTGGTTTTGGTTGGGAGGGCATAGGAATAAAGGCCTTCTTGAAACTTGAATATACTTATATGTTTCTTTGGTAGGGATTTCTTTGATTATATGTCTATCGATTTTCTATAATTCAAAAATGTCCATTAATCTGGTATTTGTTTTTCAGTATGTCCTGTCTGTCTTGAAATTTACCTACCCTACATTGTTCCAAGGGTAAGTATATTTTATGCTGTTTATACATATTTGTAGGAAATATCCAATCAGCATCAATAAATGCACTTTGAAATATTTTTGATGACTGCATAGATTTTTCACCAAATAGATATAATTTTTTTTTAGCCATTCTATTAATGGGCATTTAAATTTCATCCTTTTTGAGGATATAAAAACAACAGTGTTATCAGACATTTTTTTGTATTCAACTCTGCCAAATTTCCAACTATTTCTTTGGAATAGATTCCTACCTAAGAAATTTGGATTAAATAACTTATTTAGTATTCTTCTTGAATATTAACAAAATTTTTACCAAAAATGTTTTGCCATTCTATTAATGGGCATTTAAATTTCATCCTTTTTGAGGATATAAAAACAACAGTGTTATCAGACATTTTTTTGTATTCAACTCTGCCAAATTTCCAACTATTTCTTTGGAATAGATTCCTACCTAAGAAATTTGGATTAAATAACTTATTTAGTATTCTTCTTGAATATTAACAAAATTTTTACCAAAAATGTTTTACCAATTTATGTTGTTACCCAGCCTGAATATGAAGTTCTATAACATCGTACTCAAACTATGAGTATTTTTTCTCCTTTCTACTGATTTCATTAGCCTAAAATGGAATCACATTGTTTTATCTTATCATTTCTTAAATTATTCATGAAGTGGGACAGTTTTGTTATGTTTATTATTGATCTTTTTTCAGTGAATTATCTATTTGTGCCTTTTATCCTTTTATTTTTACTACGGTTTTTAATATTCTTCATATTTTAAGGATGCCGACCACTTTTCCATTATGTTTATTGGAAATTTTTATTTTTTGCAGTTTGTTTGTTCTTTGCCTTGTCTTTTTGTTGAAAATTATTTTGATTATTTAAATATTTTTTAAGAAGTGACATTGTAAAAAATTTATTATTTGAACATAATAATGAAGCAACAGAGAGAGCTGCAGATGACTTCAATGTGTGGTCTTGTGACTGAGGGATGCTATTATTAGAAAGAAGATAGAAGGAAAAAATGGTGTAGGGTCAGTCAATAGTCTAGGTATTTTAGGAGCAGGACGGAGTGCTCTGACACTCACATTTCTCTTTTTCACCTCGCCCCCACCATTTTTTCATTTTTTAAATGGTTTATTTTTATATGGGAAAATATATTGCTAGTTGCTTTGTGATCACTACCATTGCCTTTATGTTTATTCCTCTCCGTTACAAGAGCACATAGACATGATCTACATTTCGTTAAAGCTTTATTCAATTCTTGGTCATTGCTCATTTATTTTAGTATATGGTGCAATTCTTGGTCATTGCTTGTTTATTTTAGTATGTGGTGCAATGTGAAGAAATTGTTCCTCCTCTTGTAATTTCATTTCTACTAGCTCCATTTATTACATTTTATTGTTTAATGCTTCCTTTGTCTTTGAGTTGTTAATATAATTTATAAGGTTGTTTTTCTAGGGTCTATTTTTTATTTGGTAATAAATTTTTTCTTTAGCTTTGTTTTAGGAATTATCTTGGTAATAAATTTTTTCTTTAGCTTTTTTTTTAATTACAGTTGACATTCAAAATTATATTAGTTTCAAGTGTACAACATAGTGAATAAACATTTATATAACTTAAGAAGTGATAACCCCAATAAGTCTAGTATAGAGTCAATTTTTTAGATATTTATTTGTCAGCTCTTATGGAAAGGGGCTAGTACTACATTGTTTTTAATTATTATAGCATATAAGTATGTGATAGAGCTCATCGTTCTTCATTCTTATTCTTTTTTTTTTAAATTATACGAATGCAAACAAAAAAGCAGGGGTCATGATCTTAATGTTAGGCAAGGTTGAATTCAAGATATAAAGCATTAAACAAGTGAAGAAAGACATGTTATATGCTAAAGTATGCAGGTCAAAATGAAAAGACATTATAATATTGGAATATGCAGTTCAAAATTAAAATGAAATAGGGATGAATACCTACACCAGCCAAACAACAGGACATCATTTATCGAACAAAAAGGGCAGGAATCCCAGGGGTAAATAGGAATATATAGTACTAGTACACAATTTACTATTTTCTGTGACAGTTCAGTTGGGCAAACAAAAAGCTAGCATATATATGTGCTCAATAATACAATTAATAGGTAAATATCAAGTGCTATATCTTGAAAATAGAGATTTTGTCCTCATATGCCCATGGAATATTCACTGTGAATAAAACAGCAGTAATTTTCAAAAAGTAGCAATCCCAGTGCACTAAAATTAGATCTTAATATCAGACACAAAAATCCCTACCTACAAATGGCTTTTGGACATATTCTTCACTCATATGGAAAATATAATTGAAAACTATATTGAGATATAGCATTTTACCTAGAAGATTTGCGAAATAAAATTTCAAAATTTGATGATAGAATTGGTGAGAATGTAGAAATGGGTACTCTCATACATTGATCATAGGCTGGCAAATTGCTACAATATCTATGAATGGCACTTTGGCAGTAAATAACAATATTGCAACAGTTTAAGTCTTTTAATTCAAGAATTCCAGTTCCAGGAATTTGCCTGAGAGGTTTACTTGCATTTACATCAATGAAATATGTACAAAGATATTCATGTGAAACATTGCTGCTCTGTTTGCAGCAGCAAGCATTTTATTTTAAATGCCTACAGCACCTGGTATTCCAAGGTGGTCTCCCATCCAAGTTCTTACCAGGCCCAACCAACCCTGCTTAGCTTTCAAGATCAGATGAGATCGGGCACATTCAGGGTGGCATGGCCGTAGACAGCAAGCATTTTTAAACAAATTAATTTTTATCTATCTAGAACCAATTAAATAAATTATATTGTATTCTTAATGGAATACTATTCAAATATTAAAACATAATAAGGAAACTCATGTATTGACATGGAAAATTTCTTCAGGATGCATTTAATGGGGAGCAAAAGCAACTTCATTACAGTATAATATACTACCATCTGTGGAAATGTGTGTGTGTTTCTTATTTAAAAAAAATAAAGAAATTAGTGAGAATGATTATAGATAGGAGACAGTGGAAATGGTGCTGATAGTGGACAAAGAATGAAAGAACCCTTTTCATCACTTTTTTATCCATTTGGATTTCTGTTCTTTATATTATCACTGATATGTTATTTTTTTAAAAATTTATTTATTTATATTATGGTGACATTGGTTAACGAAATCTAATAAGTTTCAGAAGTACTTTGTCAAGTTTTTCTCTAATATTTCATAACAAAACTTTTAAAATATTGTTTACGATTATGTATACTTCTGTCACTAAAGCTGGGATATCATGAATCAGAATTGTTTTCCGATCCTGATTGTCCCTCCAAGGTAGAGAGATTTAGCGAACTTATGTGGGAAAGGATGATCTTTACATCTGACTTGCCTTTCCCTCTTCTCGTTTGTAGATTGGTCAGACTGAATATACCTTCCCTCCAAAAAATGTAAAGGCCTCAAATGCACTAGTTTTAAAAAAATCCATTTTGTCACTGGAGCATCCCCAATGCCTAGAATAATTTCTGGCACATAGGAGGTACACAGTAGGGCAGAGTAACTCATTCTACAAATATTTATTGGGAGCATACTATGTGCCAACCACTGCTCTAGACACTTAAGATTTATCAGTGGAGAAAACAAAGCTCCCTGCCATTGTTAGCTTGTTTTTCTCTTCTGCCTGTCTCTTAAATTTACCTGCAATGAATAGTACCCTTTGTCCAGTTGACTCACTCAGAAACCTGGTAGTTATTCTTGATTCCTTTGTCTCCTTCATCTCTAAAATGCAGTTAACCACCAGGATCTAAACATGGTTAGAATCTGTCTACCTTCTTCCTCCAATAGCCCCTTCCTGGGACACTGTCATCTTAAATTACTCTAACAACTCCTAACTTGCTTTCTGGCCCCTGGTCTTGCATCTCTCAGACATTCTCTCCCTTGTAAAGACAGGGCGCTTTCCCAAATGTAATTCTTTATTATGGGGGCTGTCCTGCCCATCTTAGGAAGCTTATCAGCATCCCTGGCTTCTCCTCACCAGGTGCCAGTAGCAACCCTCCCTTCTTCCACCTCTAGCAGTGACAACAAAAAATGTCAGCAGCTACTACCAAATATCCTCTGGGGGGAAAAACCATTTGGTTGAGAACCACTGTTCTAGACCATCTGTTCTGCCTGTCAGTGAATGCTTCACAAAGGAGGAGACATAAAACCTGGATCTTTTAGGATAAGCAGGTGTTCACCAATACACAAGAAGATGTGAAGAACATTATGAGTCAAGAGAACAAACAGCACGTACAAACTGTGGTGTTGTAATACATGGGTGGTGTCTTAAGTCATAACTAAAAACAAGGTTTTGAAATTTATGAATGATTCATCTAAAATAAAAAAGCAATTAGAATGAAACAGGATGAAGTTATGCCTACAATTCCCCTTTCATTCATTTGGTATTTTGCCATGCTTTCTGCATTGGAAGAGAGAGGGGCGTTTATTTTATAACCTGTGCTCCCCCCGAACACTGCATGCCAAGGAAGTGTGTCTCGCGTGAGCTTCATGACACTAAATATATTGTAGCAGAAAAGAAGCTGAGGATTGCTATCTGCAGCAGTAGGAAGAATCAACCATTTTTAAAACAAGCAAAAGCATGATTAAGTTTGCATTTTAGAAGAAACCCTTTGGCTGCAAGGTAGAGAATATATGGCGTGGGACAACCGTGGGGAGAGGGCACTAGTGCTGTGGTTCAAGAGTAAGATGATGAGTCAGCATTAGGCAGAGGTATGCAGCATGGACAGGAAGACTTCAGATTTGAGAGCTGTTATGAGGATAAAATCAATAGTATTTTGCTACTAAATGAGGGAGGTGAGGATGAAGGAAGGACTAGGATGACAGCTAGGATTCTGGTTTGGCTGGTTAGGGATAGTATGAGGATGATCAAGATGGATGGGGGAAGTTCAAGATAGGGTTTTAGGCATGTTATATTTGGGAGCTTGCGGGGTATCTGGGTGAGAAAGGAAAGTGGGGATCATCTGTAATGGAAAAAGAGGTAGCTGTGAGCGAGGTTGTTTAGGGAAAGTCTAGAATAAGAAAAGAGTACCAGTGTCAGCACTTAATGCTACAGCTGGATTCAAGGGAATAATAGAAGCTGAGAAGGACAGGTCTGAGAATAGGGACGATATTTAGGAGAGAGTGGGAAAAAACTTAAGAAGGATTGGATGTGTATGTTTGAATCAGTCAGCAGATCTTCCAGGGCTAGATGGCTTTTAAGACTATGGCGCTCTGTTAAATTCAGATTAAAAAAATAATAAAAATAAATAACAATTAAAAAAAAATTCAGATTGGCCCTTATCCTTTTCAGGTGGCAGACATTAATCGGTGGACTTTTGCTTCATGTATCATGGAAACTGGGCTGGGCTGAGATCAGCAGCAGTTCAAGGTAGAACAACCTTTTCTGTGTTTGATTTATGATTCATACCCTGCTTCCTTTTTACATTACTTAATTTCTTATGGTTTTACGTTGGGAAACACGGATGTTTATTTGAGTTGTTCAGTCTCTTAGTTCCCTTCTAACCTTGAGATTCAATGATTTTATAATCGAATAGAAGTTAAGTAGTGTTTTTCTGGTTAGTAATGCCACTAATATAATATTAAAATTAATTGAGATACAATTTATGATACAACATTAATTCGGCTTTGTTTTTGACCATAAGACCACTATAAATGAATTTTTAAAAAAACTTTAAAATTTTTTTGGTAATTTTTTAATTTTGAAATTATTTCTGAGAGTTAGGAATTCATACACACTTCCATACTCTTTGCCCGGATTTCCCAATTATTATGTTATCCTGCTTCTTTTATAATTTTTTTATTTATGCCGATCTATATCTATATCTATATATATCTATATATATTGATGTATTTTATTTTTCTGAACTATTTGAGAGTAAGTTGCAGATTTGAGAGTAAGGTGCCTCTTTACTTCTAAATTCTTTAGCGTGTATTTCCTAAGAGCAGGGATACTTTTTTTATATGACTAGAGTACAGTTATCAAAATCAGGAAATTGACATTGATACAATGCTATTATGTCATCTACAGACCATATCCATATTTTGCCAGTTTTCTCAATAATATTCTTTATAACTCTTTTCTCTGCCCTACACCCCCAAATCTTGATCCAGGGTCCAATTTATATCACACATTACATTAATTGCTATGATTCTATTGAGACAGCTTTTCAAATATATTTAAAAGAAACCTCAAAGACCATGACATTTTTCAGCCAAAATTATAATCCTGCCTCACCTAGATAAATCCTCATGATTCTTTGAGACTCGCCTGAAATGATGCACAAAATGAAAAGAAAATGAAATCAAGTTTTATATGAATAAGGTAGACATCCCTATTGAATGATCAGGATAAGTCATTTACCTCGTGGTCCAAGTTATCTGTCCAGCTTCTCTAATAGTCAGATTAACTGCTTAATGGCTAAGTTACTCCTTTGCTTGGCACTCTGGAGAAGCTTTGAAAACATGTCCAGTATAAATATTAGAAAATTTGGCTTCTTCTGAAGATATAAAACTAGAGAGGAAGAAACTAGTATTAAGAGGCTTTATGGAGGAAAGGCCCCGAGAACATAAGGTGTGGATTAATTTCCCTGACCTGATTACATCATAGTCCATCATAGTCCATATGCTGAAAGAACATTCCACTCAAGATGCTTAACTAATCCCAAAGACTAGTTCATTAGTCATGATTTTCCATTTCCATGGTATAGTGTCCTCAACTTGATCAAATAAAGATACATTTCAGATTTTATACATTATGTTAAGCGTAAGTGTTACTTTGTGCTCCATTGTTGTGCTAGATAATTCAGTGAGAACTGGGTATTCATTTAAACAAATATGGGCCCTGACTTCACAGGCCCATGGTAGTTCTAATATTTAGTTAAATAATGAAGCGTTCTGACTCCAGATGGTTGAATTTATTCCTCCACAGAAGCAAGAGATTGACTGGAATGAGGGACCTGAGATTTTGAACTGGGGTTCTCCAATGCTGATCTGATGGGACTTCCACTCTTGCAATGTTCCTGACCATAATTATCTTATAATTTCTGATGCAAATTATTTACTTATTAATAGCAGTCTTTTAAAAATTACTTTAGTCATGTTTCCTTAAAAACAATGCCATTATTCATACTTAAAATTTTTTTGTATGTAATAAAAACATAGCATAAAATGTACCATTTATTAACAATTTTTAAGTGTACAATTCAGTAGCATTTAGGACAGTCACACTATTGCATGATCATTATTACTATCCATTTTCAGAACTTTTTCATCATCTCAAACAGAAATTCTGTACCCATTAAACAATAACTCCCCATTCTCCCTTTCCTTTAGCCGTTGGTAAACCACAGTTCTACTTTCTATATCTATGAATTTGCCTATTCTCGTTACCCCATTTAAGTAGAATCATACAGTACTTGTCCTTTTGTGACTGGCTTTTTTCACTAAGCATATTGTCTTCAAGTTTTATTTAACATAGCATGTGTCAGAATTTCATTCCTTTTTAAGGCTGAATATATTCCATTTATATGTATACCATATTACATACCACATTTTGTTTATCCCTTCATCTGTTGATGGAAATCTTTATACATTTATTGCTTTTTTGTGGGTGGAGGGAGGAATGACTAATAGAACTGGGGAAAGTCAAAGATTCTCAAGATTATTTCCCTGGCAGAAGTGGTCCTCTGACAGTAGAAGTTTGAGACCTACTAAACACTTTTGTCCTTTGAACCCACATGATGCCAGGTTCTATCATCTCAGAAGACCCGTGATCATATCCCTTTCAGGTCCCTTGCTAAACTTCTAAGACACCTTTTCACCTCTGTCTCCTGGACTTCCTTAGGTGGTTTCATAGACACACACATGATGTCAGCTCAGTTAAGCTTCCTGGCCAAAATCCCAGTGTCTTAGTTATGAGTGGATCTTGTGGTTAATACCTGTGACACATCTTGGGATTTCCAGTTGCCACATGGACCCTTGGCAAACGGGAGTTACCAGATGGCTAATAGCAAGGACCTAGCGCTAGTGTTCTTTTGTGTATGGCCGAGCTGGGTTTGTGTTTGCCATGCTGCGGTTTCCTACTGGGCTTAGCTGTTTAATGATGTCTTTAGGGAAATAAAGCCCAGCTTTGTGGTGTAACCATGTACTTGTGCAGATATAGCAGATGTTAGGTTCTACTAAAAATGAAAACAACAGCAGGAAATCTGTTTGGAGTCCCCGAGGTCATCATGGAGAGAGGATTACAATGATGGGGCTGAAGGGTGGGTCTCAAATTGGTACTTGATAGCATTGCCACAGAGACTTCACTGAGATTGTCCTTATAGCCTGGAGAAGAGCAGAATACCAAATTCCCTCTCAAACAAGTTATAGAACCTGGCACCATATTTCTTATGTTGCAAAGAGGCCACATCTGCTTTGTCAGTCTCTGACCACATTGTGTATTGACTCCATCGAGTGACCTGGTGAAATATTTCTCCTCCCAGAATGTTTTCCTGGCAACCAGTTATTATCAACAACTGTTGGATGATGCCTGTGAAGGCTTCTGTCTTGGGAGAAAAAGCACTGGTTTCCAGCTACAAGCTTGTCATTATATGGCAGCTACTGCTGTTGCTAAGCCATTGCAGATGTTCAAGTCCTTTGCTAAAGGCTTTCTATATATCCCAAACGTGATTCTAAAAGAACATGTGACCTGTTTCATCTGGTAACACAGTGATAACGCAGTGCTCTTTACTAGATTCTTGAACCATTGCTGAGGACAGACTCCGGTGTGATTTCACTGGAGACAACACATCCTCCAGTTCCTGTATTACCAGGCTACATGTTTAAATAGAAACACTTTGAAAGTAGTTCGTAACCTGCTTGCTACTTTTTGTTCATGACACTTAAGAGAGAAAATTTTTAACTTTCAAGTTTTCAAGTATGAGAAGTTCTAAGTTAAAAATTCTGTGCCACAATACCTTTGTGACGAGAGATTTCTAACAGATGAAAGCAAAGCCCCCCACTCTTAATTTTTCATTCAGAGTCTTTGTGGAGAACCATAACAAATATATTTTAAAAAACCTCTGAATTAACCTAGCCCCATTCCTAAAGAAATGAAAAGTGAGCCAATTAATTAGGGTCCAGATTGTACCTCTTTTTATAAATCGGTTATTTAATTTTTTTAAGTTTCATTAAAGCTACTGGTGGTTGAAATTTTCTGGATATGTTTTAATGTGTTCATGTTTTGAGTGACTTTAGTTTTATAAAAAGTCGTCTTTGCTCACAGAGGAAAGTTAGCACTCAAATTTATAAGTTTTTGATATTTTTCCCTGTTGTTTTGTCTCCAGAGGAATGCTGTAAGTATATATGTAGAGATTACCGTGGGAGGAAATTAAAACCAGCTTCTAAAACTTCCTCAGGAAACATGCTGAGAGCCACTGAAGGGATATAATACTAAATAAAATCTGGTTGATTTTGGTGTGTGATTATGGTAGTTTCCAGGAGAAGAGCCCATGAGGCCAGAGATGATAAAAGGAAGAGATTTTTTTCCGCCAGCTTTATTGAAAAGTAATTGACAAATAAAATTTTAACATATTTAAAGTGCACATTGTGGTGATTTGATATATGTATACATCGTGAAAGATTCCCACCATCCAATTAATTAACATATTCATCACCTCACATATTTACCTTTTTTTTTAATGAGGACATTTGAGTTGTACTCTCTTATCAAATTTCAATGATATAATACGAAGTTATCAACTGTAGTCACCATAGACCCTCAGACCTTATTCATCTTATAGCTGAAAGTTTGTACCCTTTTACCATTGTCTCCCCAGCAACCAATTTCTACTTTGTTTCTAAGAATTTGACTTTTTTTTTTTTCTTTAAGATTCCACATATAAATGATGCCATGAAGTATTTGTCTTTTTTGGGACAGGAATTTTGACCTTTGATATGTGTAGGTCATGCCTATACCATCCAGTGAATAGGAATCTATTGAACTTGTGCTTTATCATAGACCACTCCTCATGTCCTTGTCACTGTGTCCATAACAGCCCCTTTCTGGCTTCTTTGCAAGGCTAAGCCAACACTACGCAATGTAAAACTCCCTAGACCTGAGATCACAGGTGTTATATTTTGTATATTAGCTTGGATTTTCAGTCACTGTGGATTGTATACTAGCAAGGTACTTGTCCTGGGATTTCTTTCTCATATTTATTAGAAATGAGATCTGTATGTCTTCTATCCTGCCTCACTTATTATTCGGGGACCTGGGAAACCTATATTTCCTTTTTCTTGTTTGGTCTTAGTTTCTTAATACTAGTTTCTCTTCTGTTCTGTGCTGTCCCTGCAGTCTTATCTCCTAAGGCTCAGCAGCACATCCAT